GCAACTTTTGAATGCTGTAAATGCCACGGTTTTACGCTAAAAATGCGCAGCAGTTAATTTTAACCCAAATTTGCCACATAATTCATAGTTGGCTTGCAACGCGAACGTAGCTTTTATATATGGGCTATACGGTACTAGAAAACTTCTCTAATAACGTCATAAGCCTATTTTGCTAAAATTATTTTGAGGTAATGGTCTCTCTATGTACATAATATCACAATGTTATTTGTGGTTTTGCGACTTTTATCTTTATATTAAATTAGTAATGCGCAAAATTGGACAGTCACATTTAGCGTCATTAGAAATATGAATACAAATAGACGTTATTAATTTGTTTCATAAATGTTTGCTTAATCACAAGATTAAGCATAATATGACACAACTAAAAAGATTTGAACAAAAATGTGTTTTAAATTTGACGTTTCATAAATTTCACGCTGCTGTAAGTGATCGTGCGACTGTCGCATCCGTGTCTCGTTGTAATCGATGTGTAGTTACGTAGCAGGTAGCAAGAGAATGTATCTTTGTAACAACTGCTAAACTGATTATGACGCTATACTGGTCTTAACGAGAAAACAAAAAAAAAGAAGAAAAAAAAATCCGAATGAAACATTCGTATTCAAAGCTATGGCTGTGATCCTCATTAATTAATCGGTAAAAATCGATTCATATTGTGTATTCGACATTATATATACATATAAGAAATAAATATATAAATATTATATATATATTATATATATTATATATACATACACGTAGGTTACGGCGATATATTTAATGATAAATGGAAACGATATTTTGCACACATTGTTGCGTTTTGCGTTCGCATTCACTTTTTCCTTTTCTTCTTTCTTTCTTTTTTTTTCTCGGCCGGTCGAAATTTACGCGCTCCTCCGCGACGGCGGCGGCAACGGGGCGGCTTTATTTTTTTTATCTGGTGCTAAATCCCAGAGAGTACTAGCATGCGATTTCGTTGATCGAGACATTGATCGGTCCCCTAGGTGTTTTACCCGGTGGCAGGGAATTGAAACCGGTAGAATTTCGATGGCGTGGACACGCAAAAAATGATCTCGACAGCGCTGAAATACGGGGCGATATTTTACACGTGAGTCATGAGTGAAAGCAAAGCGAAAATTCGCGATACAAATGTGGCTTCTAAAACCCGCGGTTTTTTTTTTCGTTTTTACGTAAATGGGACGTGTATGGTAAACGAGAATTAAAACGATCAAATTCGTCTAGCGCAACGTCAAAACCAATTTTTTAAATAATGTTAGTTACAAATTCTGAATTGAAAATTGATCCTGCATTTTTCTAAAAAATTAAAAAATTGAAATTGCTACAAAGCTGGCGATTCTATGATCGTTATATGAAAATCTATGTTTATTCAAAAATTGCGTTTTTAAAATTATTATTGTCGCTTATTTCAGAGATTGTTGAATGACGAATATTTATGCGCGATAATTGTCGTGCGATAAACTTTGCCGTGTTTACAGCACGAAAAATTGAGATTATGTCGGTTTTGATTCACGCGCATCGGGCATTCTGTGGTTTCTAGAATAACTGATGTTCGGCGAATGATTGCTCACTGTTTTCGCGTTTGAGAATCAAATCTCGAAATCAAAGCCCGTTAGCGCGATAGCTCTTAAGGTCTCTCTGCGAAGCCATCAATGAGTAACGCACACACGATTCGTTTAACAACGTAACGTCTAATTAATCGATTAGGCCGTAGGCTTAATGAGCACGGTAACGCCGTGCGAGATTGCAGGTGGGTACGCGCGATGAAAGGGCATTCAACAGTGGCTGACTGTACACGCTAATTGCGCTACAAACCCAACTGAATAAAGGGGCTTTACAACAAACGAGAATGATGCGGATGAAAGCAACGAAGAGTATATTTGGAACTCAAATGGAGCAATAAACAAATTCCTCTGTGATATATATTTACATCTTTTTTCTATTTATATATATAAACAATTTTTGGTATAAAATCTATCTACTTATATAGATCAATTAAAAGTACTATTGATTTCACTGTACTTATAACGTAAATAATTGATACTAATTTATTTGTTGTACTTTTTGTATTTTAGTATCTAAATTCATAGAAAACATATATTTAACAGATACTTCCTTAGATAAATTCGATTGTTAAATTGACATTCTTTTGCACAGCATAATTCTAACGTTTGATGTATATTCTTTTTTTAAGTTCAAATATATATAATTTAAATTGTGCAAGACATTTTTACATTCAGTGATATCAATTGCGTTGTTTCTATATTCTTGCATCAGACATACATGCAGTATTGGTCGTAAAGCCTTTTCGTTCGTATGATATTGCATGGTACCGACATGAAAACGAAGTAACAGCAGAAAATGTTGCCGTCGTACGCGAAACCCGAGGCTATATATTTTCTATGAAACGTATATATTCTCTCGCGCGAACGTGTAATCGTATATTGTATTTTATTCTCGCCATTGTTGTCATGTCGTTAATCGCGCGATACCACGCGCCCGAGAAGATGCTCGAAATATTTTCGAATCTCCTCTCCGCGCCTGCATCTGTAAAACAAGCGACAGAGATAATCAGTTAATCGCGATTTCTTCGTTCCTCGGATTAAGAGCGTCGTGAACGAGACAAGAATCAAAATATAGTTCTTTCCGATGCAGTAAAATCAAATGAGAATCATTTGAGATATTTTTCCTAGCCATGAGATAATTGTCAATAAAGCTAAATATCAATTAATAATATAATAATCGCTTTTTGCACTTTTAAACGAATTTTTAAAGCTCTAGTTTATATACAGTGCATGGATTTCCGTTTTTCTGTATAAGCAAAACTGTACAATCGAAAGATGTTAATTTTGAAACTAGGTGAACATTGATATATACAAAAGGATCGGAAAGGGTTAAACGAGAGATACAAATATGCTTATTACTAGTAAGAAAATCGCCGGAACGAAGAAAGCGTGAGCGTTTGATGTATTTTCACTACAGTCCTGTCTACAGTCAATTCATTTTGTATCTATACCTAATCTATGTATCTATCGTCATAATTTATGCTGAATAAATGTTACATTTACGCATAATAGGACAAATTTTCATCTTTCCTTCCGACTCTCCCGCCCTCGAAAGTGCAAGATCTGTGTCGGAAAATAAAGGCACGTATAACTCGAACGACACGGAGGTAATTAGGATAGCGCGGCAAATTATGTAGACAGTGAAATGGAAATAGTACGCTGAGAAGTTCGATGAAATTCGTTTAACTTTAATTGACTACTGTTTCAAAACACTCGCGAATAATGAAGGATAACTTCCCGGTTCCGATGGCAAGTTTGCCAACGATAAGTAACTCTCCGTCGTAAAACTTTCCTAATGTAACCGACTTTATCTGTCAGAATCCACGGATCCTCGGGACCTCGGCGAATTAACACTTTAATCTATCTTTTCCTCCGATAAAACAAATCTTCTTTTCATAAATTACGTGTAAACATTGCGAGTAACATAAGTTATAATTAAGACTAAAGTACACTAATGCAACTTGAGATTCCGTGATCTCTATCATATAATCTGTAATTTTAAAGAAATAAAATTCCGTTTTCTTCATTTAATCTTTTAATCACGAATGAATTATGCATGCAGAATACTCAGAACAGCAAAACTTAAATTTTCAAATCTTAAGATCCGGTACTCTATTATACATGGGAATATTAATCGATATTTCTCATGGTCTAAAATATTTTTTAATCAACATAAGAGCGCAATTTATTACCATACTTAAATACTTATGTAATATAATTAATATTGATTGAGATAATATCAAGAGACACGGTATAGGGTATCGCGCCCGCGACACGAGAAATAGAAAATTTAATTAAACACTTTAAAATATTAAAGCCTGTGTATATGTATGTGTGTGTGTGTGTGGTGTGTGTGTGTGTGTGTGTGGGGAGGGGCTGTGGCTGTGGCTGTGGCTGTGTGTGTGTGGGGGGGGGGCTGTGTGTGTGTATGTGTATGTGTGCGCGTGAGCGCAACAAAATTGGAAATTAATCAATCACATATTAATTTCGCCCGAACGTGACATCGG